TTGTCACAGTGAATTTCTCGTCACAGTGAATTTTTTTGGCTGGTACCATAGATTCACTGTGACGAGGTTAGACTGTATGCATTTCAACAAAAACTTCCGTGTAACAATTTACGATTTCGTGGAACATATGAATGTCCACGCTAGCTGCGACAGTAACCTATATATATATACGAAGTTTACGGGTTGTGACAGGTGCATCCAGACTGCTCTCAGCTTCTCATTCCACTTATCACCCTTCTCAAAAACTTACACCACCAGTCGATTAACTTATGCTGGACATTCGATATCAAAAATATCGTTATTAATGAAGTGCTTGCCACTTTATACAAATTATTTGTTACGTATTTTCAACGTAATTCAAATAGAAACAGGCAACTTTTATATATAATAATAATTAAAGAATTGTTAATTATTAACTATATTTGAATCAAACAAGTGTCATTAATCACAGAAGCTGAACTTTTATTGGCTTTGCAGATTTCAAAAAAGGAAGTTGTCCGAATGAATTTGGTGAAGAACAAGTTATTATTTCGAATATATTTTTAAATCATTTAATTTTAATCAACGCAAAAAAAATTAATTTTATTTTTAAACAATATTACTGTTTTAAAGTGGTTTTTGAAAAAGGAAATATGGCAATAAAACGTTCATCATTACTACTACTATTTTTATTGCGTTTATTATTTTAATGTAGTGGTGATAAAATGTTCTTGTTATATCAATAATTTATTTCTAAATATATAAATTAAAAACAGTTAAAGTTACATATAATATATTGACTTAGTAATTATTTGAATAATAAAAAACAATAAAAAATAAAAATTAGACAAATTAGACATTAAATTTTAATATTATAATATATATATAAAATGATTGGATGATTCGTTTAAAAAATAAAATAAAATAAAATAAAATAAAATAAAATAAAATAATAAAGTAAATGTTTCTTTCAAAAAAAAAAAAGATAAAAGAAAGGAATGCAATAAATCAGAAACAATCATCTCTCAAAAGTCCTTTCCCAATTTATAAGTTAAAAACTTAATGATAAAATACATTAAATATAATAATAAAGATTTTTTTAAATATAGTTTCTACAGTAATAATACTATGATACTTGCCAAGCAAAAGACCTTCCCTATCTTTACTAGAATACAATTAACTAACATAACTCTATTGTTCCAAACTTTTGCTTAAAGATTTGCTGAGCCGGATCTGTCTGGAGGCCCATTAAGAACTTCATCCAAACTTTTATGCCTAGATAATTCTGATAATACAGACTCATCAACTGGTATGATGGATTTACGACGGAATATATTATAACCATCTGGACGACCATCAAAAAATTGCTAAAAAATAAATATTTTGATAATATAATAATCAATAATTGATATAATTGATATATTAACAACTATGATTGATTACATAAAGATTTAAAAATCAACCATTTCCCCATGCTCGTCCTCATTAACATGTTTTTGTTCATTTTCAATTAATTCATCTTCACCGTTAGATTGAGTTTCATCTGCATAGTCTTCAGAATTAAAGTAAGCAGAGATGTCTAAATATAAAGAATCAACAGATAAAAATTACAAGATAAAAATTTGATTTTAAATTCCAAATATAATTTACCAGATAAATCATTCTTTGAATTTGGCAAAGAACCGCCAATGCTATATGGTACTGGTAATCCTTGAAAATTATGCGCAGCTACTCTTTCAAGTCTATGCCATACTTCCTCTCTTTCTTTCATCTTTTTCTTTTCACTATAGAATAAATATTAGAAATCTTATTTAGGGATAATAATTTCAAAAAAAAAATTCTATACCCACAATTGACGACTTTGTTTATAATGTGCTGTACATTCATCAAACAACGCTGGATTAATTTCCATAAATAATTTGAGTGCATTATATACCAAACCATGAATTGTCCTTCAAATATGAAAAATATTATATGAGATTCCATATAAAATAATAAATAAACAATATGTATACATGTGTGTGTGTGTATTTTACCGATTCCAATGAGCTTTTGAATTTTGATATAATGATGGGAACATTACAGGTAAAATAATGTTTACATTATCACCTATCAAATTTACAATATATTCGTTATTCCAATAATATAATGCTCTTTCTGCTACCTATTAAATAATAAATTTGTTTACATAAACGTTACTCTTTTAAAAAAGATAAACAATAACAATATAGTAAAATTACCTGAAAATGAGGACTTGAAACACATCTTGCAACTTGTTGAAATAATGGTACTTGAATTTTCACAAATTCTTGTGGCTCTATTACATCCAATATTTCTTCAATTTCATTCAAAAACATCACCTCTTTTGGGCTGTTTACCTTTGGCCAATATCTTAATAAACCACAAATCACCTAAATATTTAAAATTAATTAAATTAAATTTTTGATAAAAAAAATATGATGAAAATAAAAATAAGAATGAAATAATGATAATGATAATCACTTCTTCTGTTAATGCAGGATCTTTTTCTAAAAATTGTACCACACAATAAGCAAGTTGTGGATGATACAGTATTAAAGATTTTACTTTGTGTAAAGGGATTAAAACTTTTGTGAGAAAGGTTTTATGTTCTTCTTTTAATGGTAATGCAAACCCGTTTATAATACTGTATTAATTAAGTATACATACATGTATATGTGCATAAATTTTTATAGTAAATGATTAATGATTAATACATTATTTCGTAGAATTGACTGTACCTTCCAAGTATTTCCAGTAACTCTGCAATACCATTGTGACGTTCTGTTTCATATATAAACTGGAAGAACACATTATTAATTGATCTTCGGATGAATGCACGTAAATTTAAGAATTTTCCATAAATACGATGTAATGTGGTTTTCAAAAAATCTCGTTCTCTTGGATCTTCGCTGTCAAATAATTCCAATAACTAATTTATATATATATAAATGTATGTATGTATGTATTATGTATTCATATATATATAAATTAATTAACAATATTTGTTGGCAATAATTTTGTCACGTACTTGTAATATAAATTGAGGATCTATATATTTCTTTGCAATATTTGTATTGAAATCAGGAGACTCAATAAATCTAAGAAAAAACTCGTAAACAATTTGAAGATGTGGCCATGCAAGTTCAAGTACAGGTTCATCTTCTTCAGGATCAAAAGCATCACCTATAGGATTTACTTGTGGAGGTATAGTTCTAAAAAGATTTACTGCAAACTAGCCAATCATGTGCATATTAATTACCCGGAAATTACTAGGATGTTATATAAAAATTCAAAAATATATAAAATAAAAAAAAACCAAGTACAAGTATATCCTATTTTAGATATAAAAATAATAATAAATTTTTTATAACAAACCATGGAAACAACTTCAGGGTATATTGGCTCAGTGATTACACCTCGATTTGTTGATATGTATTCTAGAAGTTCGGCCAATGTTGATCTCTTAATCTCTTTGCCCTTTAAATCTGCACTTGCATCATTAAAATCAAAAATTACCGAGCATTGATTAAGTTTTCTAAGAAATAACTCCTGTCTTTTATCTGGCGAAATCTCTAGTATTAAAGTAATAATCATTAAAAGAGTTAAAAAGTTATAAAAATTATTTTTGGGTTTTTAATAAAAAAAACTTTTGATTAATTAACAACCATTGAAATTTGGTAACTTTTCTAATTCGACCTTTTCAGTTACATGAAACCTTGATGACCTTTGACGACGTGGTGCTTTGCTTATAGGAATAACATCTTTAGGAGTATTCTTTAAACGATTTAAAGGATCTCTCTTTGGTGGTTCTTCTTTCGAGTGAGACTTGTGGTTGCTAGCAGGTGAAAGCGGCGCAGAATTTTCCGAATTGTTGTTTTGAGCCTTTTGCTGAATAAAAAATCAAAGATAAATAATAAGGTAAATGTAATGCCAACCAAAAAAAAACCAAAAAAAAAGTGATTTAAAAACTTTTAAATTAAATACAATAAAAATATATTTTTTCCAATAATAATAATTATAACAATTTATTTGACAGAGAGTAAGTATAATGTTTTAATAACGATTGTTGCAAACCTGTTCTGTTGCATTTACAACAATGATTGTAGGAGTTTGAGCACCGTCATTTGAGTTCGTGGGGGTCTTTCCTGAAAACCTCGAACTACTGCTAGCAGATTTCCCATTACTACTACTGCTATTATTATTACTATTAGTAGAATTATTACTTGAGTCCCCTGATTTTCGTAACTGGTAACAACAGATGGAAAATTAATAATAATAGTGATATTATTATTATTATTAAAGTGAATGTGGAAGAAAATTGCAAAAAAAAATTATTATTTATTAAATCATTTCAAGAAACGATTCTCTCAACTTTTTTTTTTAATATTGAGGCCATTTTGCCTTTCTAAAATTAATTATATAATAAACAATAGATTTAAAATTTTTTAAAAATATTTTCATTAATGCAAGTAAAGAATTATCCAACCGTTGTATACCTTTTTCTTTCTACTTCGATAAAATCGACTGTTGATCCCTTTTTTGGTGACAGTCATGCGATTTTGGGGTTGGTCACAATGGTTGATCATCAAACATAGAAAATTACTAGATGTTAATTGGTCCAGGACGGTTCTGGTACTGGCAGTCCTATTTTGGGACCGGACTTAAGTCTTGGGGCTTAAAGTCTGTTTTTTTTTATTAATTATTATAAAATTTATAATTTGGCAAATGAAAAATCAATATTATGACAATTTTTAAAACTATTTATTATTATTTAACAAGTGAATATATGGGATACAGAAAATAGAAACATCTCTAACAGCAAAATCTCAATTTTGAACTTTAAACAATTGATTGCTGCGTCCGACTTATCAAGTATATACGGTCAGATTCCTATATAGCCACATCACAACTCCTATATAATCACTGGGTCTTTGGTTCTGATTTTTATATATTAAATTTTATCATATACAGTCACTTTCATAGTATAATCACAGGACCGAGAAAGCTCTATTGAATGTCATCGCCAACACTATGATTCGAAAAATTTAAAAATGTCACCTCCCACCTTATATTCGTCACCGGTCACACTGATTCGTGAACATAGGCTATGAAAAAAGGTTACTGGTTACACTATAATTCTGATATTATTTATTTTTATTTAGTGTTTGTACATTACATTTGTGATAGATCTTGTTAAAAATGAAAACTTTCTTACAATCTTCATCAAAAATTATTCACCTCATTTTGCTAATTTATTAGTGCTAAACAAGTTATTTGCAAATGTGGTAAAACTATTTCTTTAGTTTATATGTAATATAATGACTTATTAATTATTTTTTTTTTTAGCAACCAATCTTTGGCTTTGCAAATATTTCTGATATTCATCCATTATGCAACAATGGATTTTATTAGTATTTTCTAATAATATCTTGTGTTTGGGAAAAGTTTTTGCATTTATGAAAAACATGGACAAAAACATGCATGGGTTGAAAAGCCTGCAGGACTTTTGGATAATTTATCAAATATTTCTATTAAAGCTTATATTCCAGTATCTCAAATGATATTTTTCATGTGAAAACATGGCAGGAGGTGACATTACAATTCATATTATACCACAAGATATAGTTTATTTTTCTGGGGGGCATGCTCATATTCCAATGTGAATTCTAATTTGATTTAGTAGATAATGAAATTTTTATTTATTTATAATTATACACAAAATTTGCTTTCAGGAATTTTAATTAATAAATAGTCTGCTTAAAAAAATTTTGCATATCACAGCTCATATTGATTTGCATCATTAATAAATTGTTAAATATTACCATCAAATTGATTCACTCAATTATAAAAAAGCAAGATTCATGTTAATATAATCAGGTGCTTAATTTAATGGTGACATTCAATAAAATTTTACTGGTCTTATAATCACTATCATTGATATTTTCCAGTTCCACTATATAAATATTCATCATATATAATCACCAATCATGTTATCAATGTAGAAACAATTGAAATTGAACAATTACTGCTGATAGAATAATTGAATCTTCAAATCAATCAGATCTTAGTAATGATTTAGAAATTTTAATGATAATTATATTAATGATGATGAATGAACTTGACAGAAAGCCCTTAGATGATGATGAAATAGTTCAAATGATTTTGGACAAAGTAAACAATGATAATAATGAATCAGAAAGTGAAGATATTGATGAACCAAAAATTATTGTGACTATTGTGAATGCTTTGAAGGCAGTAGATACATTGATTGAATATTTTGAGCATCAAAATGATTTAGAGTTTAATGGGAATTATTATAAAAATTTAAAAAAATATAAGAAAGGTTGAGAGTATACATGAAGTTGAAACTATTTTGACCATTTGCAGATCTGGTCCAAATAAGGTCAAACCTGATTTTTACTATGTAGTTGCCTCAAGTTGACTTTGAGGTTTTAATTTCAACTTCATGTATAATTGAGAGAAAGATTTTTTTCTCAAAAACACAAAAAAGTTTAATTCGTAATCTGTGAAACAACTCAAAAATTTGCCAATAATTAATATGTTTTTGTAGGACTGGGAAAACTCTATAGTATGTGACTACCAAATTAAATGGCAAATCATATTAATGCGAATCAATTTTCTGAACACATTTAAAAAATTATTAATAATGCGAATCGAAATCAGCCAAGGACATATGAAATT